ACGATCACGTAGTTTTTCTGCTTATGTGGAAGATAAACATCAAAGTGACTATCATAACCAAAGTAGTGGAAAAGATTTCATCCCTTGATTTAAACATGTTTAGGTACGTTGGTTATCTTCTGCAACGTATAACGTTTATTATTCTCCAATATTCGCTTGATTTGATCGTCTATCATTTTAGCCTTTTGGATTTTTATGTCTTATGGTCATCATTCACAGCCGTTATGACGTGTGTACACGTTTAGCCCAGCAGCTATCTTACGTTGATGGATCCTTTGAATTTTGGGTCTTGTTTATGAAGTTCCGATTCGGATTATTGTAGGGGAAACTAAAATTAACAGAAACGTATATTTTCCTCAATGAAATTTGGTTTCCAAAATGCGTTAGGAAATAGATAAATTCTAACAAATTCTTTTTTCAATACAGAAATATTAATTTCTAGTTCAAGAAGTTCTCTCAAAGTATACATAAACATATGTTTCAACGAAGTAATTGAATTTTCATTTATTAATCCGATAGATTTGACTGCTTTAAACGTTTTTTTAGTAGATACCCATCTTTGTGTAAGGCACTCCGTTTATTTATTAAACGTATATATATATATATATATATATATATATATATATATATATATAAAAAACTGATAACTGATCCAACGTGCAACTTTCGGATAATAACTGTGACATTCCTGTAAGTATAGAACAATTTAGTTCATGCCACATTGACTGAAAAACCTACCAGTACAAAAGAATTCTCCTATTACCATATTAGTACAAAAACGCACAATCTTAAAATTTAAAAATTCAACCTCAGCGTTGCGACCGCACGCTCCAAAAAATTTCTTACAATTAACAATAACATATTTCTAAAAAACATTTTTTCGGATTACGTCTATATTTTCGTTGTCCTGTTATTACCGAGAAGTAAAAAACAAAAAGAAATCTATTTCCATACCTGATGATGTCTGTATGAACAGGTGAAAGCTTGTAAAAAACTAAAAAAAGACCTTATGCAACTGGAATTTATAAACAGGAATCATAACATTCATTTACAGGTTCTGGGTTAATGTACTTTATTAAATTTGTTTGCGAAAATGTATTCTCGCCATTTATATCATTAACTTCTATATCTGTTTTTTTTGTATGAATGATTCATGTTATATATATATATATATACTTTGTCTGTATATTCGGGAAATTTTATTAAAGAAAAATCCGGCAGGGCTCGAACCTGCATCCCCCTTTGCAAAAGTAACTGTCGCTAGATCCGCTGTGCGTTAAAACGAGTTTGTCACCGGGTGGGGGAGTCGCCGATCAAGCAAGGATGACTAGTAACTTGTAAGCACAAATCCTTCCCAGATTCTCAAAAAGTTCCTATCTGCTCATCAACTCATGGGAGTTCATGAGGTTCTTTATAATTTTAAACTTGAGGGTTTTTGATTCTGATTCTTGCAAACCCTGTCACTGCTCTACATACTCTTGATGCTGTCGTCCATATCAACAGCTCTATTGACTTTGTAAACAATGTGCAGTGTTATAGCAGTTATGATGGAGATGCATTTAAGGTTTATCCTTCTGTGACGTCAGATATTCCTTTAAACTAAACGTGCATTAAGAGCTGGGCAAATACTCAATTTTTTGCGCTCGGTTTCACATAATTTGACGTAGTTGCTGGTGGGAAACTTTTATTAAATTTTACTTTTTTGTTTCTACACTTGATACGTTTTACATTACCTTAATCTGGTTCATATTTTTTTGACTAAATCTTCACCCAGTACAAGGCCCGAGAGCCATTTAAGATATAGGGTTAACGAGTGAGCTTGTTGTATGACCGTAACAAAAGGAATTGAGATTATGGGAATATATAGGTGTTATACCGGAACATTACCTATTCTATTGTAATAGACTTTCCCACACATAATAAGTAGTAGTAGTAGTAGTAGAGGTTGCTAGTTGGGCTCAGTGGAGTTGGTGAGACAGTCGATGTCGGACATTAAAGTATCAACTAACCACAACTAGATTGCTGCGTCATTAACTATTATTTCAAGTTCCTAACGTTTTGTACGTTGAACCTAATTTAGGACCGACTTAGTGAAATACAAGCCTCCACTGTGAAAACTACTCTACAACAATAGGATAGACAACGCTTAAGCCGAGACTTAAAAAGGTTAAGATCGTAGTAGTCAGGGAAACATCTTGGGTATCTGATTCACAAAGCAGCAGTTCACAGGAAGAATTTGTCTGAGTAGAACTTTCTTTATTGCCAACAGGATACGAAAGGGAATGAGGATGATTCGATCCCCGTGTAGATGGCATGGCATGTTCTGGATGTAAATGTCTGAACTGACGGAACTAAGGCATGGAGCTCGTCTGAAAATTTGGCATAGAAATCGACAGGCTTGGGGTGTTTCTTGCGTGAAAAGGAGTTGTAGATTTGAGGTTATTTCATTGCCTATAAGTCTGCTTTAACAATGTTGAATTCTATCAAGGCTGGAAAGTGAGGATTGGACAGCTCCACCCCAGATATAGCAGTCATACGCAATTTTTGGTTTGATT